TGTTTCTCATAATCTCTGACATGACTGTATGTACAGTTCTTTCCTTCATCTCCAATCTCTTTTTCTGCCTCCATTTTTTAAAAAATCAGTGTGTAACTTATACGTATTTTATATCAGGCAAGGTTTACATTGATGCCATCATTTATCTGCATTTCCAGAGAACAATGATTGTTTTAGTCAATGTTTGATGAATGAGGTAATTAATTGAGGAATGGAGGGAGAGCGGGGGACTACAAAAGACTAAAATGACAAAAAAATTAATAAATAGAACTTAATTGGAAAAAGTTTATTTTTAGTATATTTCACAACTAATACCCCAAAACTTGTTCTAAGGTTCATTTACCCAACCATGTAAGACAGAAAGTTAACATCAAGTCATGGTGTGAAGGTGCAATGTGATTTTGATAAATTGGCCAATAATTCCTTCCATGTAACTGAGAGATTGTAGAAGAATCTTCATGAAACTCTCAATTGTATGTAACCTGAATGTGTCCTTTAACCACTGAGATGAACTTGAAAATGGCATGGTTTACAAACTGACCAGATGTCTAGCTAACCCTGGACAGCCCTCAAATAGTTCTCTGTGGCAAAGATCATGACGGGGGATTACAAAAGGAACTCCCAAACCAACTGACTATTTTCAGGCTCTGTGGAGGATGCTCTTAATGAATCTTCCATAAATGGAAACCCACTGGCTCATTCATGGTTCTGTAGACCAGAGAGCAAGCCTAGGAGTATGGGGTTGCCAGTATTGCATAATGCAAAAAATAAGCCTGCCAGAGGAAGTGTACTCTTTTGTGTTTTCGGAAGTCATAAAGTCAAATAAACCAATAGAGGCTCTAGTGAAACCATTTGGCATTTAAGAGGGGGTGGAAGGGATGAGTGAACCTAGACCTCAAAAGTGGGGATTGGTATACAAAAGGCTCCATACCAAGAGGTTGCTAAATAGAGGAGAGCAAAAAGTCTGAAGAAGGTGAGAAAAGGAGACCTGCCTGTTAGTTCTTTACTAACTGAATTGTCAAACCCAAGAACAGAGCAATGCTAAAGTTAGAAGAGTCACTAGAAAATGAGTTAAATCTACTCTTCCATCGTTACTCAATTTCATCTTCTGGAAACATGTGGTAGATAAGAAAAGATGGAAAGTGTTGGAATAGAAGATTCTTTAATGCTGTAACAACATTGAATATGGAAGTGGGGAATAAGCCTTTAGAGACAGAACGCTATGCTTTAGAGAAAAATAGTATGGAAGCTTTCCGAAGAAATTCCAGGTTAGTGAGAAGTGCTACACTGTAGGACTTACAGTTATTTTCAAGTACAGGTGATTGGACCAGATAATGTTTGGGTAGAGAATGGAAAAAAAAAGGCAAGAGAGAAAATACAAGAGAAAAGAAAAAATAATTTAATTTCTTTTACGAATTAATCATAAAATAAAGAAAGGATGTTCCATCTATAAAAAGTGCATTAAGGCTCAGCAGATGTGTGTATGTGTGTCTCAGCCTCTGCAGATGTTTGGGGATATCTGGAATTTATTTTTAAGCCCTTATTTAAGGTTTAAAATCTTATCAGTAGTCAAAGGAGGAATAACTAATGTTACAACCATGTGCCTTTCATTGCTCTAGGCAGTGCTAATGGAAGTGAGAACTGAGAAGAACTGTGTTCATCTTGTCCATCCTCTGCCCAGCCACTGAGTCCAGAAATTCTGTGTGGGAATTGGGGCTAACCAAAGGTTGAGAACTAACTATCCAATTTTGACCACACAGAGTTCTGTCCTTTCACAAAAGTGGATTTTTGTCCAAGTGAAGCACAGAGGTCCAATTGAACTTGCTGAAAACAAGTCTGTCATTCTTCAAAACCTTCTGGGTTTTAATTCCACGCAGTAGTCTTGAGGAAATTGCATCTACTAATTACTCCCTAATTCTTAAATCCACAACTTGTGTATTCATTTTTCTCTAAATTCCTCCCACCCTCACTTCTCTGTATCGTAAAGAAATGGTTAATTTCTATGGTATTACGGCAGGGAAACAACAAAATCAAGTCAATTTCCTAGGAAAAGGCAAATTGTCTTAGTGTTCTTGGTGATGACACTCTGAGCCTGAAAGATATGGGGTCTGAAATATTTCAGATTCTGACTTTTAAAAATGATTTAAGAATATCTGCCTATGCTTTGACAGCTGAAACCGCTTATCCCCAAATTCTACAAAATCGGAAAGTTCATGAACACTTCCATGAGAGTTGGGAAGGTTTGAATTCAGGTTTTGTATGTCCACATTAGCAGTACTAAGCTATTCTTGGTGTTTGTGTGGCCCTGTAGGACAAAGCACATGAGCAGTTGTCATTGTTTTCCTGCCACATCCTGTCTTCATCACATTCAAGTAATGGAGTAATCACTACCACAATGGTGATGAACGAATGAGCATCTCTACCCTGTGGGAATGGGCACAGGACAACTATGAGAAGCATAGCTGGATGTAGCCTGTCTGGACCAGTGAGCCAGACCTCCTGAATACAGACAGAACCCTCAAATGTGGCTTTCCAGGAAACTTAAAGTGAACAGCAAAAGAGAAAGAAATAAAAGCATGTCTCATTGCTTTCACATGGGTTGTGTTAAGAAAACCTTATGCCATGGCACTGGGGATTGGAGAAATATTTGAAGCAGATCCTTAAAACATGGCTCATAGCATATTCAAAGGAACAATCAGCCAGCCATTCCTTTCATTTTTGCTTCCTGCAAGCCAACAAATTGCCTCAGGGAAATGAAAAAACATGCTCAAGTTATGGGGTGCCCTGGTGAACCAGCAGGCCTGACTTTGCACCTCTCCACTCTCAGCTTGTAGATTAGAGTGTCTCACCTCAAAACACTCTGAAAAATTCTCTGCTAAAAAAATCCATCATCTTGGAGGAGGCATTTTTTTTTCTTTCATTTTATCAGCTCATATGGTCTAAGATGCTGCCCATGTTCCAATGGGAAGTGAATGGAGTCACTTAGATTAAAATAATGAATGCTCTTGAAAGAAGCTAGTCTTTACCTTGGCCAAATATGATTTAACAGGGAAAGCCATTTCTCTAGCTCGGTGTGTTTTTCGTAGGTGTGTGTGGTAGGAGAGGGGGACGTTTCCAGAGCTCTCCAAGCAAGTGCGTTTGGAAAAAAGAATTATTGTGTTTGCTTTACTGCTTTCCTCAAACCTGTAAATGGTTCTTGTTGATCCCTGTATTAAAAAAACAAACTATAAAAACCAAGCAAGCCACCTTCTACAGGCAGATGACGCTGCTGCTTCTGGGGACACACTTCCTGTAATTAGTGCCCGAAGACCTTTGGGAATGCAGAACAAGAGGCAGAGTTCACATACAGTTGGCCCTCCAAAAAGCACTCTTGCCTGCTGTTTCTTTTCTCTTGCCTCACAAACTTCTTGCCATAATGGATTGCTGGGTGTGTCCTTCTGTATATATGTTTCTCTTATTGGTTGATTAATAAAAAAAACTGATTGGCCAATAGAGGCAGGAAGATAGGCAGGCCTAGGAGATGAGGAGAATGCTGGGGGAAGGCAGGGAGAAGAGCTGAAAGAAACACCATGCTGCCCAAGGAGTAACATGCTAGATTACTGGTAAGCTACAGCCTAGTGGCAATACATAGATTAATAGAAATGGGCTAATAATTAACAAAGAGCTAGCCAATAAGAAATCATAGCCATCAGCCAGCAGTTTTATCATTAGTAAAGTGTCCTTGTGTTTATTTAGGGTTGAAGGGTGGCAGGACCAGGTGAAACAGAAACCTCCATCTTCAGTAGACGGTAACTTCTGAAACTGACCCACTGATGTTTTCCCAGGCTAACCCTGGCACTGGCAGTCATTTCATCTTGTGTTTTACCTGTGCAACACAAGATTATTAGCCTGCAAGCTTTTTGAAAAAAAATTTCAATTTCTAAGGTTCTAGGAATCTTCCTAGTGGATTGAAAGCTTGAAGATAACTGTCATGAAAGACTCAACAGGATATTCCTAGTTCCTGACACCTCATAGACATTTCTCGTGGATCTGTTGCATTAATAAATCATTGAATGAATGAATGAATGATTCATGCTATGAATGATCACTGATAATATGTACTTTCCCACACCATCAACTCTTTATTCCATTGCTTTTCATCATTAAGTCATAATTAAGGAAACTAAAAGAGCCATTATCTAGTTCTGAGTCCAGCTACTGTGATCACATTAGCAAGTATATTCTGCCTATCTCCCATTCCATGGTTTCCAATCTCCTTAAGCTGATTCACCATTTATTTTTTTTACAATAATGCTTAGTTTCTAACATTCCACTTAATTTTACTGTATGCATTTTCTTCTCTAACTAGACTGTAAACTTCATGGTCCAGAGTTTCTGAACCATTTCACTTAGACCTGTATCTGTCATACTTAGAACAGCCTGTAAATGTTTAGTAACTAGTTGTCAAATCAATAAGATAGCAAATCTTAGTTCATTGGTTCCATACATCAGAATCAACAAATTACTTTGATTCATTTGTATTGCTAATTCCCAAAGCTCAACTCCCCACCAATAGAACCATACTGCTTCCCGGCATGAGTATTGGAGGTTTACATATTTAACAAGGAGTCTAGATGACTTTGGTGTAACTATTGTGTGTGACCAGTTCATCCATTCACTAACCCAGAGATGATCCTGACACTTGGGATATCTGAAGTCTCAAATGGTTACTCAGTGGTATCTTAAGTGTTATTGCCATTAGTGCTATTCTTAACTTTTTTTTTTTTAAAAAAAAATATATTGCAGTTGTCTGTGAGCGTACATCTTTTCGTTTCTGTCTGTCTCCTTGGCTGTTGGCATAAACCACTGGGAGCAAAGCTTTGGTTTTGGAACCTTCTTTGTATTGGGTCTCCTTGGAATAGCATTGAAGTTAGGTACTGAGTAACTTTTGTCTCAGATATTGTGTTTGCACAGAAATACCAACCTATTCCCACCCTAATTAAGCACTGTGTCCCTTCTAGCTCCTAGACATCATTGAATGGACTACCCAGGAATTCTCTCCTCCAAAGTACCTTCATTATGACCCAGAAACCAGTCGTCAGATCCTGTGTGACAAATGTTCCCCTGGCACCTACCTAAAACAGCACTGCACAGCGAGAAGGAAGACACTGTGTGTCCCTTGCCCTGACCACTCTTACACAGACAGCTGGCACACCAGTGATGAGTGTGTGTACTGCAGCCCAGTGTGCAAGGAGCTGCAGTCCGTGAAGCAGGAGTGCAATCGCACCCACAACCGCGTGTGCGAATGTGAGGAAGGGCGCTACCTGGAGCTCGAATTCTGCTTAAAGCACAGGAGTTGCCCCCCAGGCTTCGGAGTGGTACAGGCTGGTAGGTATCTGCTATAATGTGCAGAAAAACCAATTAGGACTATGCAAAGCCAGACAGTAGCTAGTTTAGGGGACACTTGTCCTGATAAACGGTAAACGTACCTGCTGTGTGCTGTGTATCTGGGTGGTTTTCAAAGGACCTTTCTCAAAGAAATACTTTGTCACTACAGTGTAATTTAGTGAGGAGTCTCAAATGCAGGGAATTACTCCCTAATGAGCTACATGATGTATGGCTCCGTTTTCAAGGCCCATTGTCTGAGTGGCACCAGGAGTAGCTGATATACCCTGCCCCATCTCACTTCGGCGGGAACGGATTCAGATTGCAGGGCTTTTTGACAAACATCCGAAATGTTAATCAATACCAAGAGAGTAATTATGCTGATATTAATGAGACTCTGGAGCATGAACAACGAGCAGTTATAATTAATTATGTAAAAATGGGAATGGCTAGGGGAAATACATCTCATTATTAAAAATGAAGCTGGTTTCTCCTTCTGGCATGGGAGTCTAATGTTTGGGAGGATAAAGACAATAGCAAACCTTTAACTGGCTATTCCTTATCATAAACAAAGCAGATAGTCAAGCCACCAGGAAGTCCTTGTGTATAAACCAGTACTATCTCTTCTTGCCTTCCCAGCAGCATGGGCTGAGGCTAGTGAGAAACTTTGAAAGCTGAGACCCAGACATTGCTTTCCTTTTGTAACACATGCTCAAAGTGGCACTGTAGATTACAACTGCTTGTGTCTTAGGAAATGAACAGCCTCCATGTAGGAGGAGGAAGGGAAGAGTGATCCCGGTGAATTTAGATCACTCACTTTAAAGCAGGATCACTCAACCCAGCCTCTCGACTTAAGCTGGACCATTCTCTTCTGTATGAGGCTGTCTTGTGCCTCTCTAAGCCCCAATGATGGCTTATCAGCACCCCTGGCGCCTAGCAACTAGCTAACAGCTATAGACCTCCCTCAGGTGTGGGAGGCCAATTTGCTCCTGGTTGACAGGTTATCGTACACGTTCCCCTAGTATATGTTCATTGCTTGTGACAAGTTTAGATAACAGGTATTTTCAGTTTGAAGGCATATATGGAAAGCATATACTTATTATTTGTGACTAGGTTAAGTTTAGATGACAAGTATTTTCGATTTGAAGGCACACACTTAAAGCATATCCAATTAAAGTCAGGTGTAGCAGCAAAGGCCTGGGTTGTTCCATCTCCAAAGACACAACCAGGATGGAGACAAGGTTGAGGCTAACCAAGGGTATATATCCGTGGCTACAGAGTGAGACCATGTCTCAAGCAAGGTAACAAACAAGCGAAACCCCAAACAAAATCTTGAAATCTAAGTCTCTTTCGTAGTGAATCGTTAAAAGAGTGAGCACTGCAGGAGAATCCACAGTAACCCTGCTAGATGGAGCGTTTGAAGGAGAAAGAACTTCTATGCCCTACTTTTTATTGGGACTCAATACTATCCCAACCGATAGGGGGAAATACTCAAGCAAGCCTACTTACTCCAGTAAGCTGGACACAGTGAGCTGTGTCCATACAGAGAGGGAGATAAGGCAAGGACAGTGCAGCTCCAAACCTTGAAAACTGATAATACCGGAAATAGTTGGGAAATAGTGGGGTTGTTGCCCTTACAGGCATGGAAATACTTCTGAGGGGTGAACTAAGTCAGAAGACTTAGAACAAAGGCACATGGTGGAGCTTTTTCAACTTTTTCTCTCCAAAACCCTGCAAAGTGGTTCTGCCTGGAAATAAGAGGTTTCAAGGTCAAAGGGGAAAGAAGGACCATGTGGTGTTATCCTACAACATGTGTGATGACTACTTTTGTTGTTGTTTTGAGAACAAGATCGCTTCATTTTCTTCTCTTCATATCCACTTGCTGGCCAGCTCTCTACTTCTTGTCAAGTTACTTAGGGCTGTCAGATTGAATTACAATTCATCTTATCATTGTAGCATTTTACATTTGGCCTGCCAGACTAGACATTTGCTATTTCTACCAATCCCAACAAGGCAAAACCTTTCTTAGATGGTTCCATCTTTTTTAGGCACAAAAGTCTTGTCAGTTTTAAAAGAAATCCTGCTAAGAGATTTTTTTAGATGAAGTTTCCAAACAGATATAAAACTGTATGTGTCATTCTTGAATTTCTCTTGTTAAAGAATTGGAAAGGCCAGTTTACCAAGAAACTATTTTATACATATGACCTTTTAGTTAGGTGACATAAGAAAACTCAACCCACAAACATTGTACCTGAAGAATGACAAATTCTTTCTGTATAGATAATGTGGCCGTCAGCAAATAGATCCTTGGGTTCACACACTCACGTCTTGTATTCTCTGTAAGTTGGCAGGAACTGGATACCAAAATATTTCTACTTACAACATGGTACAGTTTAGCATGGAGTAGTAGGGTTCCACTGAATGGGAGGAATGTAGACAGTACACTGGGAACCAAAGAAGCCCACTTTGTGGGATTAGGGATGGGGGTAGGGGTGGGGAATGATTTTAAAGACAATATCCCTGCAGTGTTGAAAATAGCATTTATGTGAGACTGCAGGCCTGTGGTTTCTCCTCCCCCTTGTCTTGCTAGTCCTTTATCATTTTTACAGGTCAATGAATAAAGGAAGAGACAGGAGACTAAACTAGAACCAGTCCGTTTCACCACTTTCTTTCCAGGATGGGTAAAAGATATGATGAAATAGGAGGTGGAACTTTTAATAAGTAAATTTTAATAACTTTCTGTAGCTTTCATTTGTCTCTTTTGTGTTTGTTATCTTGCATGAACCAGAGTTGCACTGTGAAATCTACATTTGAATACTGAAGTCTAAATCTGTTCAGCCAGCTTACACTAGGTGGAGATAGTTTCATATGCACATACACTATGATGTGTGCTGCGTCCATGCATAATTGAGTCCAGGGTTTGAATATATTTATTTTGTGGCATCTCTATTGCAAATCTCTTGGTTAGAGTTTTTGAAACCAATGATGTCTTCAAAGGTATTGAATGTCTTAAAACCAAGAAGTAAAACACCCTTGTATTTACCCTTCTGAAAGTTTTAACAACATGCTTTACTCAACACCATAAATAAATGGTATATCATCATCTGTTTATTATGTAGCTCAATGTCCGGCTTACATTTGTGAGTAAGCAGTCAACTTTACCACCACCTTCAAGAGTTTGCTATAACATGCTGTTCTCAAGGTTAGCACGTTTCACAATTAGGAACTCGGAGAGAAAGGACTTCTGTAACAAATGACTGGAATTTAAAGATGCAACATTCAATGGGTGCTGATTTCAAAGTGACAGTAAAGCAGACACGCAGCAGTTATCTTGATGATTTTCCCAGGAATAATTGCGCAAAGAATACGGTTGACAAGCCTCACTGGCGCTTCATCAGAGACAGGACTAATGAGTACTCCACCTTCTTGTCTTTTCATCTACAATTTCAGGAGCATTTTGTAGGTAACAGCACTGCAAATTTGCGTGGGTATTACAAGAAAGAGAAAGAGCCAGAGGGGCTGACTGTCGATGTTTTGTTGTCTTTGTCTAATGGAGTGAAAAATGGAAATTCTGAAACTTTCCTGCAATAAATAGTAGTAAGCACAGTGAAAACTTGGTTCAGAACTGTGCTTAGTCTTTATCTGCAGAGAAAGGGTTGGGGACCAAGGCACTAACTTGCTGGGTGTTTTCCACAGGAACCCCGGAGCGAAACACAGTTTGTAAAAGATGTCCAGATGGGTTTTTCTCAAATGAGACCTCATCCAAAGCTCCCTGTAGGAAACACACGAACTGCAGTGCACTTAGCCTCTTGCTAATCCAGAGAGGAAATGCATCCCATGACAATGTATGTTCTGCAAACAGAGAGGCAACACAAAAATGCGGAATAGGTAATTATGCGCCAAACCATGCTGCCTTCTTACACCATTTCAGCGTATCTTCCTCCTCTGAGAGGAACACACACTCCCATTTTCTCTTTTTTTTTTTTTTGACACTTAATCTGCCTGACAGTTGCTCAAAACTCAAACTCAAAACACAAATGAACAAAAAAGTCCTGAAACAATCTGTACCACCTCATTACTCACAGGGGCATCTCAGGCTCCCCACTTCTCCCCTCTGCCTCCACACTAAAATCAAGTATAGCCCACTGGTGGTATCAAGCTGATTGCTTGTGCCCAAATTAACTGTGCTTAGAAGTTATCTGCTGAGAAAGGGTTGGGGACCAAGGCGCTAAATTACTGGGTGTTTTCCACAAGGAGCCTGGGAGTGAAACACAGTTTACAAAAGATATCCAGATGGACTCTTCTGGAGACCTCATCGAAAGCCCCCTGTAGGAAACACATGATTTCAAATTGAAGACTTACACATTTTTATCATTTCTAAGAATGTCCAAATTAGCTAAAGTATAAAGCAGTAACTAAAAAGCAAAATGTCATAAACTGATGAGAAATTAGAAATGAAAACTTGGCTTCATTAGGAATTTTATCCATAGCTTCACTGTGTGGAAGCTGCAGGATGCTTTGGTTGTGTTAAGTTCTCTGCCTGTGGTCCCCACACGTACAGTACATTAAACCACTCCCTGTTGGTGATGGGATCAATGTATTCTCTCATCCTCCCTCCCTGCTACCACACTAATCTCAACAAGTCACTGTGAGTTCTAGTGCTATGTGCTTTCAGGCATCAGGGCAAACAATGGCACAAACCAACATGACTCTCAAAATCTCTTTCTCTACTACATAGAAACACGAAGTACAGGAATGGACACAGGCATCTTCTATAGTTCCAAACACTTCAGCTGTTTTTCACTGTGTTACCAGATACATTAATTTATCCTTTTTTTTAATTAAAAATAGTAAAACGAGTGAAAGGGTAATGAAATGGGCTAATTTTAGCCTTACCATTGGTTTTTATGTCAGCATATGTTTTATTTTTGCAGTTAACTAAGTATTTAGTATATAGCAAGCCCTCTACTTTATAAACTTTGATATTTATTGAAAACACTTTGAAATCTGCTTAGAAAAACTATAGATGGCTAGTGGCTTAACACTCATCTTCATGTCTCCTGATTCATTTCTACAGATAAGCAACATGTTTGCTACATATACATAAAATAATACACTACCACGATTGCACATAAAGTATTATACTATTTTGATTATTGCTTAGGTTCCTTCTAGGCAGCGATTTGGTGTTTTGTTTCTTATTTGACACTGACCTTGTGGTACCCACTAGTCACTAACTAAACTTTTAGCAAATAATTAATATTTACATCAAGTTATAGAATTTTAGTCTACTATTTGTGTGTATCCATATTAAATTCTCATTCAACATTTATTAACTTACCCTTTCCCAAAAAATGACAAAGGAACACAAAAGAACACTACACAGTACATTAGCCCAGTTGTCTCTACCACTAAGGGCATCCAAGGAAGTTGTTTATTTGAATTTCCCATTTTAGCATGTTGTTTCACAGAAAACACAACCCCATATTTAATTTGTGGTTGATTTTGCTTGGTTTTTTGTTTGTTTGTTTGTTTTATTTTGTTGGAAAGACTGTGGGAAATGAAAGTGTTCAGTGAATCTCTTTATTTTCCACTTTCCTATAGATGTCACCCTGTGCGAAGAGGCATTCTTCCGGTTTGCTGTTCCTACCAAGTTTACGCCTAATTGGCTCAGTGTTCTGGTAGACAACTTGCCCGGGACCAAAGTGAATGAGGAGAGCATAGAGAGGATAAAGCGGCGACATAGCTCACAAGAACAAACTTTCCAGCTACTGAAGCTGTGGAAGCATCAAAACAAAGAGCAGGATATGGTGAAGAAGATCATCCAAGGTACTGTCTCCTGAAGTAAATGAGTCAGTCAACAGAGACACCTACTTGTCATAAAACACGAATGGGCTACTTGTCTATGTAGTGGGGTGGGTGCTTCCTCTGGAATCATCATAGACCTGACAATTTTTCGCTAAGTGATAGTGTTGACATGATTCCTGTCACATCTAAGGAAGAATCTGTTCTCACCTCTTCTCTGATTGAAAGAAGAGGCACAAACTCTTATACGATGAACTAAGCTGAGGGGGGAAAGGACCCGAACTCCCCTCTCCCCAGATTCCTTAGCTGTTTCTTCAGCCTCTAGTCAAGTTTGCCTAGAAGAAAATCCTTGAGCCCTTGGTGCTTGCTTTACATTTTGTGCCCTGCTGTACTTAGTAAATTTCTTCAGAGAGGTACCAAGTGTTTTGCAGATAACCCTCTCATTAATCCTAACAACATAGCCTGCACCCAAATTACCATTTTAGTGACATCTGTGGTGAGGATTAGCAATGTCTGATACACATTTGAGCTTCTCAGAGGAAAAGGCTGGCTAAAAGCACGTGCTAGAATATGCTAGAGCTTCCTGGAGAATATTTAGAAACAATGTGGAGGGTAAAAAGCGAGGCATGGAGGGAAGGAGAGAAGAGACCCAAAGAAAAGAAGGTACCCTTTAGTCTACATGTCGTACATACTTCACGATGTCCAGTTGAACGAGTTCTTATTTCATTTACCATTTTGAAGACATGCCATAGAGATGAAGAAGGGGTTTCCCAATGCAGAAATTGCCCTGCTCTACCCTGGTATCTGACAGAGTTTCCCCATGCTACCCATGAAGCATCAGACATGGAAAATCAGAGCAATAGATTTTAGGATAATTACTTCCCCTTTGACAGGCCAGTGCTTTCACTTAGGCAGAGCAAACTTTTCTTGTGTTTCTGGCAAAACAAAATTATTCTCTGAACCTATAATTAGCCCTGAAGCAAAAAATAAAAAGAAATGGAAAGTCAGGGACTGTCAGTACGTGAAGGGACCCAATTCCCTGCTTTATAAATGAGAACATTGCAGCCCAGAAAGATGAACGGAATTGCCTTAAGGCTCACAGATAGTAAATGACTCATGTCATTAATAGAGACATTAGTTACTCCTTCTCATGTTTATGCCCAAGCTCATTGCTGAAATGCCCTCCAGGCTATGTGTTTGCTGTTCTTGGATTCTTGTTACTGACTTTCCATATCTGCCACACTCTGGTGCTTCTCTGGTGCTGTGTATATTTATTAAAGACTGGTTAAAATGTCTCTTGTTAGTAGGGCCAAGGTTAGATACCAACTTTTATCATATAAAGAACCTGGATACTTTATTTCTGTTTTTTCTTTTTCTTTCCTTTTTTTTTTTCTTCCCTGAAATGCTGTGAATTTAAATAGCACCTTTTTTTTTTTTTTTTTTTTTTGGCTTGTAAAGTTGAAAGCGATGAGTCTATAATTTTCCATTGTTCACTGTCAAAAAACGGAACTTCTCACAAGACTGTTGTTGGTTGTTTCAAAGAGATTGTAGGCTATCCTATAATCTCAGTGACATCTTAGCAACTGGAAGTAGCTAAGTCACCTAAGAAAGTTCAGGAAAAGCTTATCTTGAAATGAAGTTACAAATTGTGTGAGAACATCTGTCTGGGGTCTTAGATGAATAGGAATGACTTGAGCATTTCTTTGGTCCATACAGACATTGACCTATGTGAGAACAGTGTTCAACGGCATATCGGCCATGCCAACCTCACAGACGAACAGCTTCACGTCTTGATGGAGAGCTTGCCAGGGAAGAAGATTGGCCTAGAGGACATCGAGAGAACAAGGAAGATATGCAAACCGAGCGAGCAGCTCCTGAAGCTGCTCAGCTTGTGGCGGGTCAAAAACGGAGACCAAGACACATCGAAGGGCCTGATGTATGCACTCAAGCAATTGAAGTCATACCACTTTCCCAAAACTGTCACCCACAGCCTGAGGAAGACCATCAGGTTCCTGCACAGCTTCACTATGTACAGGTTGTATCAGAAGCTGTTTTTGGAAATGATAGGAAACCAGGTCCAGTCAGTGAAAATAAGCTGTCTATAACCAGAAATGGTTATGGTGCTGTTTCTTCAGGATGGGCCAGCTCCAATGGAGGAGAAGACTGTTTCTCAGGCACATAAACAGGCACAGTGATCCCTTTCTCATCAACAATGGGAGCGCAAACAACCCCTTTCCCGACCCCATATTAAGAACATTGAGGACTCTGAGTGGTCAAAGCGATGCACTCTATTTAGTAACTTTGCAAAGTCAGCTCTCAGCACAGAACCGCAGGCATGCTGATTGACAGCAGAGGATAGTCTTTACAACCCCACACAAAAGTCCCTTCCTTCCTTGCCTCTACAGCTGGATAATAGAAGTCTTCTGCTATCTTGCATGTCACTGTTGTCTTATTCTTCATTCTGAGGCCATTTGTCTATCACATTCTCTTTACTGTAATCCTCATCGGGAGCACTAGCCTTGTCGCATTCGCAGGGTCTTAGGCAAGCTTGACTATTAGTTATTTTTTTTCCCCTCTGAATATTTAATTTGTGTTGCAGGGGTTGGCTGGACAAGCTGATGTGGGGTTTAGCAGTCTCTTTAACAGACTGCTACAAAGAGCCCAGTGCCAAATGTTCACCTGTAGTTGGACCTAAGCTGGCTCGAAGTACTTTTATTTTGAAAATAATCACCCGATTTTATTTCTTACACCAACAATCTGTGTTGCAGGGCACTAAAAGAAACTATAATATGGAGAAAGAATTGTATCTCCCTCTATGTTCAACAAATCCCCAATAGTTTATCCAGCTGTCACATCTGGCCTAGTATCTGTGTGTTCTCTTGTTACTGCTTGTAGTAATTCAACTGGAAATAATAATAGTAATAAAATCTAGACTCCATCGAATCTCTCAGAATATGGGAATCTCAAACTTAAAATAGCTTTGAGATTTCAGTTGTGTTAGAGGGTTTATTAGAAAGCCACTGTTCTTCTGTAAAAGTTGCTAATATATCTGTAAGACTATTACAGTATTGCTATTTATATTCATTCAGATAAAAGATTTGTACATGTTATCATCCTAGAGAGAAATGGTGTAAGACTTAATTTTAGAAAGAAAAAAATATTCTGTTTATTGTTATTACAAAAGAGATAAAATATATTTTTAATAGAAACTCTGTAGTGTTTTCTAATAGATACTGGCAGTTTTCCAGTGTGGAATGTTTTTATAATGTAATTTTATCTGGGTAATATGTGATATCATTTTATAGAAAAATACATTATATAGTCAGTTGTTTAATGTCAGAAAGTGTATGAACTATAAATTATCTGAATATTAGATACTCTGAGGAATTGAATGTACCTTATTTAAAAGATTTTATGATCATACTATATAAATAACATCATTAAAGTTTTCAAATTATTTTTCATTTCTTTTCCTCTTGCTTTTATTTGAACGGGGCATTAATGGGCTTACACACTCACAATTTCCTTCTTTGTTTTTGATCATCACAAACATCTAGGAGTTGTTTAAAATGTAAATTCCTGGACCACACTGTTAAAAAAATTATAGGGATGAATAAGTGTGGTCCAGGACAAGCTTCAAAGTAATTCTTCTCATACAAAAGACTGGAGAATTTCTGAAGTCAGGATTGATGTATATGCAGAACAAGTTAAAAGTGATACCACTAACATCAGGAGATCAAACTAAGTACTTCTGTCTGTAAACAAATGAAAAATGGCATTCTCAAGCTCCTTAAAAGGAAGATGTTAATTGGATGGTATATTGATTGGGTTGCAGATGGTCCTCAAATCCATTTGTTTATATTCCTGACAACACATGAATGCTACCTTATTCAGAAATAAAATTAATTTATTGATGTAATCAGATTAAGGATTTTGAGATGATAAGATCACCCTACATTATCACTGACCCATTTCCAGTGATGAGGATGTTTATGAGAAATGCACAAAGTGAGGAGAAAGAGAAGATGGTGTGAAGACAGAAATGGAGCTGGTGTAGCCAGAAGTCAAAGAAGCCATAGACCACATCTCCCAGGGCCCTGGATGGGCTAGTGGGCTAACCTCTATCCTTTTCTCTATATCTATGAGGAAAGGCTTCCGCTATTCTCACCCATCCCATTGGTGACAATTTGTTAAAGGAGCTAACAGAAATGTAGTGGTGGCATCTGAGCTTCGGAAAGGATGGATCCCTTTGAGTGGGAATTCCTATTCCTTCTCCATTCTTTCAGGTCTGTCTGTCTTTCCATCTAGTGTCAGGTTCGCAAGAGAATCCAATTGTCTTGCTGTAGAACTGATGGGAAGACAAACCCAAATGATGCTCTGCACTTCTTCATCCATTTTATTTTCCAAGAAGTGAATTTGTGAGCTGGGTCCACCTGCCCCTCCTGCTTTCTCTCATTTGCTATCACTTATAATCTAACATCAACACACATTCTACTGTTAATGGCCAACCTCATAGAAGAATGGAGGGGGGTAAGCACACGCAGGCTCTGAAGACTGAAGAATTTTTTTAAAAAGGCCAAGTCGAGTGACCTTGAGGAGTGCGATCCCACTGCTGCCCTACTAAGGCAGAGTCGTGGAAATCAAATATTGAAAAATTAGGAGAGAGACTGGGCATTAACTTGGAGTTCACACCTTTTCCTTGAGAGCTCTAGTTCATCTACTGAAGAACTTATTGCCAGCTTTAGTCTGTAAGCTAAAGACATTGAGGCAAAATCACTCATGTTCTTAGTAGATGAGCCTCCTCAGCTGCTCTTTTGGACTTGGTTTATCCCAAGTTCTCTCTTTTCCAAGAGAAAAATCCCATCCTCATTGTTCTCTCCTTCTTATCATTCTGAAATAAAATAGCCCTTCCTTCACACCTATAATTAGGTCATTTTTCCTTTCAGTAAAATGATACTTAGAAAAAAATTATGTTTAGGGTCCAGTAGGATTGATTCCTCATTGGGTAGAAGTGCGTGTCCCACAACTTGGTGACTGGTTTAATCCCTGGAGCCCAAGTGTAGGTGGGATGAGTGGATCCACTTCATAAAGTCTTCTTCTTCACCCCATATGTGTACATGGCATATGCATCCCAGCGGTCATGCACACACACACACACTAATAATTAATACCAATTTCAAAATAGCATTTCAAAATCAGGATCTGGGTGCTAGGTTCATTCTTGTCCCTGTGATGTCACTACTTCTAGGTCTTTCTCAATGAAGAGAGTTGTAAGCACATGCATTCATATTAATGCACATAAGCACATATATGCATATTTACATGAGTAAATATACATACATACATACATACATATCCGTGTATGGTGTGTGTGTGTGTGTGTGTGTGTGTGTGTGTGTGTGTGTATACACACGGATATGAGCAGGTGAGTGCAGCTACCTGTGGAGGCCAGAGGCATCAGATCCTCTGAAGTTGAAGTTACAGAAGGTATGAGCTGTTCTTTGGAAGAGCAGCGAATTCCCTTAACTATTAAGCCCTCTCCCTAGCCATCTTTCCATGTGTTTACTGCCTTCTACAAGTCTTCTTCAGCCATGTTTTTGTCTAGATATTTCTCCCATTTTAATTATATTGTACCGTTTCCAATTGTTGCTTAATAGTTCTTTATATATGCTTGGTATGTCTTTTGACCCATACGTGGTTTACAAGCATCTTTTCTGTCTGTCTCTTAGCTTTAGTATTCTTGTCATGAGTGTACAAGAGCAAAAATTTGAGCTGTTATATTTTTAATAGTTTTTTTAAATTTAAATTAGAAACAATCTTATTTTATTTATCAATCCCTGTTCCCTCTCCCTCCCATTCTCCCATGCTCCCCACTGACCCCCATCCTATCCCTCTTCTGCTCCATAGAAAGGGTGAAGACTTCCATGGGGGAATCATCAGTTTGTTACATTATTTGGGACAGGTCCTCCCTAGTGTGTCTAGGCTGAGAGAGTATCCCTCTATGGGGAGTGGGCTTTCAGTGACAATTTGTATATTAATATAAATGCTGTTCCATTACTAGGGGCCCCATAGACTACCCAGGCCTCCTAATTGTGGAGGGCCTGGTTCCATCCCATGCTGGTTTCCAAGCTGTCAGTCTGGGGTCCATGAGCTCCTCCTTGTTCAGGTCAGCTGTTTCTGTGGGTTTCCCCAGCCTGGTCTTGACCCCTTTGCTCATCACTCCTCTCTCCCTACACTAGGATGACACCAACTAAGAATCTAAGCAATAGGGGAGAGGCTATCTTAAATGCTCTTCCCCTATAATGAGATTGATGACTACATTATATGCCATCATAGACCCTTAATCCAGCAGCTGATGGAAACAGAAGCAGACACCCACAGCTAAACACTGAACAGTTATTAAAAACATAAATGTCTTCTCTTTGTGTGGAATGAGGTCTCACTGTATATACTTAGAACTCACTACCCAGGCCATGCTGGCTTTGAATTTGTAATAATCCTCCTACCTGTACTTCAAGAGTGTTAGATTACAGATTTGGGTCAGCCCAGGCCTCTCTCTCTCTCTCTCTCTCTCTCTCTCTCTCTCTCTCTCTTCCTCTCTCTCTCTCTGTTTGTATGTGCATGTTGCACACTTTCTATCCAAATACCCACACCAGATCCAAATTTAACAGTGTTTCTTCTGTTTTCTTTCATAGCTTTTCCCCCTTTAAAATTTTTTATTTATCTATTTCTTATAACTTTTTAAGTGTACATTTGAAACAAGCTTGTTTTACATATCAATCCCAGTACTCACACCCTCCTGTCCTTCCCTGTTCCCCCCACCAACCCCCATCTCATCCCCTTTCTGCTCCCCAGGGAGGGTGAGGCCTTCCATGGGGAGTCTTCAAAGTCTGTCATATCATTTGGAGCAGGGCCTAGGTCCTCCCCCATATGTCTAGGTGAGGAAGTATCCCTCTATGTGGAATGAGCTACCAAAGTTTATTTGTATAAATACTGATCCATTACCAGAGGCTCCATAGACTGCCTAGACCTCCTAACACCCACATTCAGGGAATCTGAGTTGGTCTTATGCTGGTTTCCCAGCTATCAGATTGGAGTCCATGAGTTCCCTCTTGTTCAGGTCAGCAGTTTCTGTGGTTTCTCCAGCTTGGTTTGACCCCTTTCCTCCTCCCTCTCTGCAACTGGATTCCAGGAGTTCAGCTCAGTGTTTAGCTGTGGGTGTCTGCTTCTGCTTCCATCAGCTCTAGATTGG